AACTTCATAAAATTATATAACTTTTGTTTGAAACATTTTTTTATATTATATATACTTTTCACAAATTATACAGATTTAATATTACATAATACTATCAACTATGTTCACACAAGTACCCTTGAATTTTAAGATATTTTTATTAATCAGTAAAACCCCAAATATCTTAGCCTAAATAATTATCATAATGTATGAATCTGAAACACAAAGTTCAAAACAAAATGTAGTAGTATTTCAAACAATATGTAAGATGTTTTGGTTCTATATGTCTAATTTGAAAACATCTTGTGCAGAATATTATCTTTCAAATAAAAAGAGTAAATGCTTTTAATGTCAACACTTCCAAAAAATTATGAATTTACTTAATACAAAGTTTGTAAGTGTTTATCATGTTATATAATTCCATATAATACTGTGATTCTCTACATTACTTTTATATAGTAATTGGAAAAATTAAAAGTTTTTATTAAATTTGTTATATTTTATTAAGAACTTCACATGTTCTCTTTCTTTATAATTTATAACATTATTATTATAAAAAATATCTCCTATTTGTAAATTTTACATAATTAATTATATTATTGATAAATACTAAAAACAAGCTACCCTTGTTCATAATACAATTAGCATTATTCAAATAAATATGACAATTTGAATATTCTGGAACCTATGTCATATGGATATAAGAGAAGTCAATATTTACTTGCTATTTTACAAGTTCCTTAATTGGTCACAGTAAATAACATTTTAACATTGATGTAATATGTTCAAGAAGTTAAAATTACAGCAGAGAATTATCTTTTAAATCTAAATAAAATTATCAATATTTGTTTGACATATCGCATATATATATATTAATTAGTTAACACGAAATGACATATTTAATACAAAATACAAACCTTCTTGAATAATTTTAAATAATAATATTACAAAATATAAGGTATATCAATCAAAATATTATAAAATATTATTTGTATATCACTAATTATTCAACAGAGAAGTATTAAAACAAATTATACAGAGCATCTAATATACACTAAAATATTTATAATAGCATAACAAACAAATAAAACATCAAATATCTCATGACACTGTGTCTAATTTACCTATATTTAAAAATAATAATGACCTAAACATCTAAAACATTTAAATTTATTATTAATATATCAATAGTTGCGCAGTATTGTAGTTTCAAAGAATTATTAAGTTTGCATACTATATTTTAATTTTTATAAAACCTGCTAAATTTAAGATGTCCAAAGAAAAAGTGAGTAAATGTTTAGATGTCTGACTTCCTCACTAGTTTCAATGATATTGAAATATGTTGTCAAGTACGTCATTCTAAACAATTTTTTTCTATACATATAATAACCAGTCCTTTTATTTTTCAAAATATTCGCAAAAATATGTCTGGGAGAGGGAGCTATCATAATTATTTAGAAAAAGGACAAACTTTTGTATGACCTTGATCTCAACGTATATCGTTAAGGTCATTGTTCTGTGTGCCTAATACTTTAAACTTCTTAGCAATGACTTAAGTTTGTTAAAAGATTATGAAACATTGACATTTAGCATTAAGCTCAAATCTACCGCCATCACATCCATTTATTCATGTTGTTTTTTACTATACATATACACCAGTTTTATTTAGATAATAGACATAGATATTAGTGGGATCAGTTTTATTGTGGAAGGGATGCAGATTGTTACTTCATAATTGCCAATAATCCTATTAGATTTGAAGAATTTTTGCAATTGTGAAATAAAAATATGGGGCTGAGCTTTCTCTCTCCACGAATAAAATTAGCCTTTTTGTATAACTTGGAAACTAAACAAGATCGATCATTGTATGTATAGGAAAAAATTATTCAGGATGACATCCTTGGCAACATATTCCTAGGTTATTTTGATTATCATACAGAATATGCATCCAAATATTCACGATATATTTTTACATGTATCTCAAAAATTAAAAGAGACTGCCCATTGTGTGTATAGGAAAAAATTGTTCAAAATGATATCCTTGACAACATTTTAGTGTCATTAAAATAAATAAGGACACACATCTAAACATTTATCAAAAGCTGAAATTATAAACTCAAGTATGACACATTTCAAGAAACTACGTTGTAATAAGTTGTTCTATATAATTTAGGAATTGTAGATTCTATTGAACTATAACTCATTCATAAATCTTCTAGAAACAAAGTAACGATTGCTTATCCAATAATGCTAAAATATATTTTATAGTGCTGCAGAATCTATTTGACATAAGGCCATCTTTTATGTATTAAAGGACTTTAATTCAATAATAATCTCATTCATTTATTACAATTGCAAATGTATTACTTGAATATATCTTAAAATGTTCTAAAAAACATATTACCTTTTTAAACAATTGTATTTACATAAAAAACT